TATGCCTTTGGTTAGCGGTTGTTTTGTATTTATATTTGGGTGGTAAGAGCAACGATCGTGGGTTTCTCTGCCATGCTCTTTCCCCACAGGAGCTCTAGGTGAGCCTGGCACTTTCATTCTATGTTAAATGGTTGTTAATGTTTTTGTTGTTCTTTCTATTGGTCACATGTTTAATTTGAATCGTATGTAAATAAAGGTTAGGTGTATTTACTCTGCTTTTGTTTTATATATTTAAACCATACATCCCCTCTACAAAGTTAGTAGCCAGTGCCTTCCGGTCAATTAAAAATGGATATACACAACGTAGGTAGTTCTTATGACGATCACATATTTTTGGCCACAACTACGTTTACTTACTTTTTGTCGAACCTAGGGTTGTTATACTACAGTACTATATATTTTTTCTGCCCAAGTTTAAAGACATAAAATTTTGATAGCCGGATGACTCGTCTTTTATTTAAATTTTTGTAAGGTCGATTTGATCAATTAGATCGAATGTTATAACAAATTTAGTGTAGCGCGCTCTGGACCGCGCGCTCTTCGAGAGCTGTACTATACTTGGGGCAGCCCGCCTCATTTTTCGTACGTTAGAAAAAAAATTCTATAGCCTTCAATTCGCATTTTAGAAAAAAACTTCCTGTTCTTTCGAGTAGCGCAGTTCATTTTTTTTTAATTAAGGTTCTCGAAATATGGAAGTATCTTAGAGTTAGTTATAAAATTCAAAGGAGCCTGGTGGTATTATGTAGTGTTATCACTGCTATCTTTGTCCGTTTCGTATGTAGAAAAAAATTATATGGACCAAAATTGAAAGAAAAAGAATATGCTAAAAATAAACTGTATTGGCCATGTCTCTCTTACCATTAGAGATAGATTTATCAAACTCTATATCGCTACAATGTAAGGGAACTGCTATATCCGGATACATACAAATGTACAACGTGGTATGTCAGAAAATATCAAAGTTTGGCTTGTATCTCCTAAATGCAACGTTCAATTGCTTCATTTTCCTAAGTACAAAAATGAAAAAGATAAGGAGGTTAGAATGTTATGTGAACAGCCCTGCACATTCTTAATGGTACTATTGTTAGAAAAACACCAAAACCATTACTTTGTTATACATTGTAACCCCTAGAAACTATAACAGTGCAGTTGAAATGATTTATTTCGCTTCGCTTAGAATGCGAATGTCTGGAACACATTGCCAGTTAATAAATAAGATTTATAGATGTGGACTTGTGGATCAGATAAACCAGCATTACAATTGTAAGACCGGTCAAGTTCCGGACACCATCAATTATGGAAATGGATTCCCTCTGACCTGACCTATACGCCCTTATTAATTGTAAGTAGAGTTGGACTTGTTCTTGGAGCGTTGCCAATAAAGGTTCCATCTGATAGCCTCAACGAAGCTTTGAGGATGTGTAGGTAATAGACGAGTATTTGATAAGTGGAACAAAACGTAAAAGATGCGTATGAATGAAATTCAAAGTTGCAAGCATCTGACTGTTTGTTTTTTCATATGGGACGTTTCAGAAGGAAATTATGAATTATAGGAGTAACAGAATTAAAGAAAAATATCTGAGCTTATCGCCTCTTATTCAAGATACAAGACGATTAGATTAATTTTCCGACTTTGGTAAGGATTGTGGCCATCTGAAAAGTATATGCCGAAAATGCGTTGTCTAAAATTAAGGTTGTTAGGTTAAATAAGCGTCCATTTTTAAGTTACAATTTCCAAAATTAAAAAAAAACATTTTAACATTTTTAACTTCTAAACCGCTTGCGGCATTTTTAACTTTGGTGTGTTCTTAGTATACGAGTACCTATAACTATAAAATAAAAAATGTCCAGTTTGTACAAAAATGTCCATGTAAAATTATGGGTAGGTATAGTATAATACAATGGCCATTGTCTTCATTTTTCGCCCATACACCTTTTTTTGTATCCTTTACTGTTTAGTGACAAAACTGATTTTTTTAAGTATATACTTTACGATATAGAGCTTTTTTAAATGATTATAAGCCTCTTGATCAGCAATTTTGTTTGCAACAGCAATTTTACTTCCGTTGCGTTGGTAATTAAATTTTGGTAAAATTAAAAATTATTAAAACCATAGCTAATCAAGATTACGTTAAAACACAACATTTTGTTCCACCGGATGGTGGTGGTGTCAGTTTTTCAATCAAGCAATCTGCGATGATATTATCCCAAGTGTAGACGCAACAGTTTTTTATTGTTCATTTTAAACCAATCATTATGACTTATGACGCTAAAATTTAGGGTTGTTTAGTTGACACTGCCAATACGTGCAATGTTGGTTGCCTATGCTCGGCGGTAACATGGCTTGTAATTATTTATTAAGGTTCTGTTTGCATGCTATGATTAGCGAGTCAAAGCAAATTATG